AATACAAACAGAATTGGTGTCAATATTTTATAAAGAGCCCAAACCCAAACCAGAGCACCACACCACACATGACAGATCTCTTTTAGGTTATCAGCAAAGCACAAACCCAGCTCCTGACTGGGGCAGATCCTGACCTCACAGGACACTTCTCTTCATGTGGTTCAGCAGCCAGAAGATCTCAGGGTACATATTCTCCTGCAGTGAGAAGAGTGGCTGAACTGAACCGTGTTTGGAGTTCATCTGACCAGAAACTGAGGGTAAAATCTGAATAAAGAGAGGCAAGAGCTGCCACAGGTGCCCAGCTCCACCCTTGGTGACTGGGCAGTGCCCACAGCACAGTTCTCAGTGTTCATCACATTAAAAGTCAGCTACAAATCTACCTTTTATTTGGTTTTATTTAATAGTCTCTGCTAAGCTGAACAGCTCTTCCAGCAGGACCCATGATGAGGAAATGGGAAAGTTCTGGGTCCAGGGCTGGGCCCCTCAGGGTAAGAGAGACACAGAGGGGCTGGAGCGTGTCCAGGGAAGGGATTGGAGCTGGGGAAGGGTCTGGAGAATTCCTGAGGGAGCTGGGGGGGCTCATCCCGCAGAAAAGGAGGCTCAGGGGGGACCTTCTGGCTCTGGAATTCCCTGATAGGAGGTTGGAGCAGGGGGGGATTCGGGCTCTGCTCCCAGGGAACAAGGGACAGGAGGAGGGGAAACGGCCTCAAGCTGTGCCAGGGGAGGCTCAGGTTGGAAATCGGGAGGAATTTCCCCATGGAAAGGGTGGTTGGATGTTGGAAAGGGGCTGCCCAGGGAGGAGGGGAGTGCCCAGCCCTGGAGGTGCCCAGGGCAGGACTGGATGTGGCACTGAGTGCCCTGGGCTGGGGACAAGGTGGAGATGGGGCACAGGGGGGACTGGATGATCCTGGAGGGCTTTTCCAACCACAAGGATTCTGGAAAAAAAAACCAAACTGATATCCCTGCAGAGAAAATGTCATCCTTTGGTTTAAACAGATTCAGGGAGTAAAATGTGTTTTCTGCAATAAAGACAATTCAGAATTGGAGGCTGGGAGGGTTTTTCCAACCTCAGGGGTTCTGGGATCCTGGGAGGGCTTTTCCATCCTCAGGGGCTCTGGGCTCCTGGGATTCTGGGATCCTGGGAGAGCTTTTCCATCCTCAGGGGCTCTGGGCTCCTGTGAGGCTTGGGGCAGCTCTGGGGAGGGATTTATGCCCTCCCCAAATTCCCTGGGGTGTCCCGTGAGCCCCAGCCCACGTTTGTCACTCCTGGGCCTCCTCCAAGTGACGAAAGAGTTTTTGCTCAATGTTTCTGTTTATGGGTTGATTCAAATTCTGACACTGCACGAAATGCAAATTACAAAACAAATATTTCTTTCATCTTAGCCCTTAATTGGCGAGATTCATGCCTGGTAATGTTCCATTAAATACATTTGGGATGACAGGAGGAATTATGCTGCTTCATTTATTCACCTCTTCCTTTGCTGGTTGTCATAATGACGGTGGCTCAAGTGTTAATCATAATTATCATCTGCTTTAAGGTGCAGGTTTTCTTCCTTTCTTCCTTACCCACAGCAGATAAAATAGAATTGATAAAGAACCACAGTGTCTTTCTTGTGAAATCAGCAGCTTTTATATGAAGCTGGAATTCAAAGCTGGACAAGACCATCGTGCACTTCTCAGAGGAAAAATCAAAAGATACACTGCAAAGTATTTTTTAAAGCATCCAGATCCATGTTTTGTCTCTCAAATGTTCAGGCAGATCTCAGTATCTTTGTGCTACAGAGAAAACATGAATTAGTATCTCAGCACTAAAGGAGCTTCTACAGGAACCTACAAAAATAAATGAAAACTTCAATTACACAGGAAAATCAACTGAAATCTTGAGGTTTGGAACCACAGGCTGGTGAAGGGAACAGGAAGAGTTCACAGCTTAATAACCACATTTCAAAATGTTGGGCTGTTTGAACCCAACCACATATTTATATGACAATAATGACACCCCACTTCATGTGTAAATTATTAAGGAGGGTTTTGGGAAGTGCTTAAAAACACACACAAAGAGTATTTGGACACTCACTGTGAGTATTGTCCTTCCTGTCATCCCCTGGGGACACCTCCAGGTCTGGGAAAAAGGAACCTCCTCATTTAAGTGGTAGAAATGTGTTTATTTAGAAAATAATTCAGAAATTTATTTAGGAATCGTGGTAAATAAACGTGTTTATTCAACAACCAACCAGCCCACGGGTAAATGAGGGTTTCTGGGGTGGGACCCAGACCTTGGGAGCCTGGAAATCAGGGTGGGACAGGTCTGAGGAGACCCTCCCTGTTTCCAGGCTGGGCTTTCAGCTGAGCTGGTCGTGATTCCCCACAGCCAACGACAGCAGAATTGGGCTGTTCTGGGTGTGATGCCAATTCTGGCAGGGTCAGCACCCCAGAGGGGCTGAACTGTCCTGCAGGAACTCCTGTCTCTCCCCACCAGGGACTGGGCAAGGCTGAGAATTCCCAGGGGGGGACAAAAATGTTTCATCTCTTGGAAAAACTGAGGAATTTTCCCGTTTCACCTTTCTGTGTGGAGGGGAGAAGGTTGGGTGGAGACCCCAGAGCAGCTCCCGGGGTCTGAGGGGGCTGCAGGGAACACGGGGAGAGGGATGTTCATCAGGAGCTGGGCTGACAGGACAAAGGGATGGGTTCACACTGACAGAGGGGAAATTTAGGGGGGATTTTGGGCAGGAATTCTCCCCTCTGAGGGTGGGGAGGGACTGGAATGGAATTCCCAGAGAAGCCGTGGCTGCCCCATCCCTGGAAGTGTCCAAGGCCAGGTTGGAGCACCCTGGGCTGGTGGAAGGTGCAGTGGGATGACCCTAAAGGTCCTTCCAACCCCAAGCATTCCATGGTTCTGTGATTCCAGGTCCTCCTTTGGGGCTGTGCAATTCCAGCACGGAGTTGTGAGGATCCATTCATGTTTGCTTTTGCAGCAGGAGGAATTCCCTCCTGGAAAAGGTGTTCAGGCCTTGGCAGGGGCTGCCCAGGGAGGTGAGGGAGTCCCCAGACCTGGAGGTGCCCAGGGAAGGACTGGATGTGGCACTGTGTGCTCTGGGCTGGGGGACAAGGTGGGGATGGGGCACAGGGGGGACTGGATGATCCTGGAGGGCTTTTCCAACCTCAGTGATTCTGGAAAAAAAAAGAAATACTGATATCCCTGCAGAGAAAACATCATCCTTTGGTTTAAACAGATTCAGGGAGTAAAATATGTTTTTCTGCAATAAAGACAATTCAGAATTTCTAAACCAAAACCCACGATTGCCAAAACCCCCCAGGTTTGTGGCTGTGAGAGGGATCAGGAGGTTTTTCCACCTCAGTGAGCATTTCATTGCAAAATGTGTGAGCAGATGAGATCAGGGCGAGATCCGAAGCATCAACCCCAAACATGTCCACGACAGCAGGTTCCAGTGCCATTAAAATCATTAGGGGAAGGTAATGAGGGAAGTGTTAACTAACTGGAAGGAGTTTAATTCCTGCTGCAACGAGCTGGGTGGGAGGGTCCCAGCAGTGAAACTGGTCCTTTGGGCTCCCAGATGAAAGGGAATCAGGAATGTGCAGGCTGGGCCAGGCAGAGATTTCGGTGATTTTGCAAAGCAAGGAGGGTTTCATCACTCGGGGAGTTGGGCTGTGGCTCAGCCCCCCCAGGCCATCTCCAGGGCTGTATAAAAGCAGCAGCTACCCAGGGTTGTTCCATCTCACTCTCCTGCCTCTCTCCTGCATCTCGGGTAAGTCTGATGCCACTTCATTTCTTTCTCAGTGCTACAATGCCTTTGTTTTATTATTTTTAATCCTGGAGCTTAGGATGCTGTTCACTAGCCTTGCATTACTGGGTTTAGGATGAAGTTTTTCCTTTATTTCTTCTTCCTTAATTTATTTTTTAATCTTATTTTTGGAGCATCTTGGCAAGTTATTTTATTGCGAGGCTTTAGGAGCCAAGATCAGGGGCTGAGGCATTTATTTTAAATAATATTTTAAACAGCATATAATACTGTTATATTTCACATTGTTTCCCTGTAATTCATATTCTTGTCCTGGCAGGAGACTGAAAATGCAGGATGGAATAAGCTTTAAAATGCAGAATTCTCCTGCCCCACTTCACTGAATTAGGGAGACTTGGCCATATCCTGAATTCTTTAATGACCCACCTGAAGAAAGAGCTTGTTTTAAACCCCGAGATCCAACCTGACCCTGCCCTGACACAGCTCCAGCCCTTCCCTGGGTGCTGTCCCTGGTCCCTCCAGAGCAGAGCTCAGGGTCTGTCCCTGCCCAGGAATTGGAGCTGCACTGAGGTCTCCCCTCAGCCTGAGCACCCCCAGTGCCCTCAGCTGCCCCTCGAGGCCCTTCCCCACCTCTGCTGCCTCCTTTGGACCCTCTCCAGCACCTCCAGCCCATCCTTCCATTGCAGTGACCAAAACTGCCACGACATTCCCCAGCTTTGCCCCCCGGGCTGGTTTCCCCAACGACCCAACCCCGAACCTCGATCTGTCGTTTCCTTCCACCCCGTGCCTGGTTTTTGAGCGTCTCCTTCTCTCTCTGTTGCAGCATCACCTCCCTCCAAGCAGAGAAAAATGTCCTGCTACGACCTGTGCCCCACCACCCCGAGCATCTCCTGCCCCCAGCCCGTGGCCAACAGCTGCAACGAGCCGTGCGTGCGGCAGTGCCCCGACTCCACCGCGCTCATCCAGCCGCCCCCCGTGGTGGTCACCTTCCCCGGGCCCATCCTCAGCTCCTTCCCCCAGCAAGCCGTGGTGGGATCCTCGGGGGCACCCGCCTTCGGGGGCTCCCTGGGGCTGGGGGGGCTCTACGGGGGCTCCCTGGGATACGGAGCCCAGTATGGATACGGGTCCCAGTACGGATACGGGAGCCCGGCTCTGGCCGCGCTGGGCAGCAGCTCCTGCGGCCCCTTCTCGTCCCGCCGCTTCAGCCGCGTCCTCCGCAACGTCTGCGGGCCCTGCTGAGCCCCCGGAGCCCCACTGATGACCCCAAACCAGAGCAATGAGGGCGAGGGCTCGGCCTTTTCCCGCAGCCCCGCCGCGGAGCTCCCGCCCCTTCGCCTTTCTCGTCTCCCTCCTGCTCTTTGGCCGCCCCTCGGCGTCTCCTTGTTGCTGTTGTTGCCTGTTCCAGCCTTCCTGATTTTTTGAACCATCCTGGGGCGCTTATTTCCTGTGGACACCACCCACAGCATCTTCAGCAGCAGCTGCACAACAGCCAGAAGGAGCGGGCTGAGGACGGGGATGTCTCAGAGCAGGACATTTGTTGATCGTGCCCTGGAATTGTCTGGAAGGGGTTTTTCGTGCTCTTGCTTTGCAAACAGGCATTTCTTGCTCATTAAAACTTGTTGCATCACACGGCAGCCTCTGGTTTTCCCCTTCTTCCCTTCAGCCACAGCCTGTCCCGGGTGGGACCCTCCCAAAAGTCAGGACCGAGGTGCTCCCCGGGCAGTGGAACCCCAAAACCCTTCAGCACTGATTTTACAGGGTGTGAAAACCTTCCTGGGGTGAAACTCCTGAGTAGCAGCTTTCCATCCTTTGAAGATATCAAAGGTTTGAAATGACAGAATCCCAGAATCACTGAGGCTGGAAAAACCCTTCAAGATCATCAGGTCCAACCTTTGACCCATCTCCACCTTGTCCCAAATCATTCCTGGACCAACAGTGTCTTAACTCCTGTTATTTAAACATGATTTCAGTGGGGCCTTCCCAAACAGCCTCTGAAAATGAGATTATTGGTCAAATTGACATGTTTTCAGGGAGTTCTGATTTTTGGTGAGTTCTGATTTTGGGTGGAGGGTGATGCATGGGACGGGCAGAGTACACAGGACGTGGGTTATTTTACAGGTCAGGGAATTATGGAGTCGAGGAATGGTTTGGATTGGAAAGGGCCTCCAAAGTCCATCTAGTCCAACCCCTCTGCCACGGGCCTGATCCTTCACTAGACCAGGCTGCTCAAAAACCAGCTCCAAACAACTTCCAAACACTTCCAAAAATCCCCAAAGGATTCCAGACATGGTTTACTAAATTATTGTTTTCTAAGTTAAAGGGGAGAAAGAGCTTAAAAAAAAAATCGTTTTTTCAGGTGAGTCTGATCAAGCCTTTAATTAGAAACACCTGAAACTAATGAAGCTCCTCCAACTGTTCCAACGGTTCAATCCCTTTGTACCAGGATACAAACCCGAGCACGGGAGGACAAGAGAGGGTGCAGTGACCTCTGCGGGTCAGGATGAGACACTGTAGGTTCGGTTATTGCTCCTCTCCAGGGATGGGATCCATGGAAAAACCTGTGCCAGGGCCTCCCCACCCTCCCGAGGGAGAACGTGTTGCTGTGCAGGGAACACTTAATAACTATTCTTTGATTTAAGTGGAGCTGCCAAGGGTTTAGATGGGAAAAGTTCAAAGAACTTCCAGAATTTCGGCAAAGATTTGCCATTCAGGTGAAAATTCCTGCTGTCTGCTCAAAGGAAAATTCTACCCCTGGACCCCAGGGCTACTTTTAACCAATGAAAAGCATCATAAAATCAATGTTTGGGGATATAATTAAACTGGAGCCTCGGGCAAGTGTTGAGACACAGGGAAGACCTTCAGAGCTGCCAGGTTTGACTTTCTTTGTGAGCATGTGGCCAAGAGCCACACCTGTCCTGGAGGAAACATCCAACTCGGATGGAAAGGTTACAAAACGTGTTCATCCATCATGACACGAATTTCTGTCGTCACATTTCCTCCTGCTCCAGGGACCTGGTCACCTTCCAAGCTCTGGTGCTGGAGGGAAACAACCACTGTTGTGTTTCACTGCAGAAGTTGAGTGGTAAAAACCCCAGAAAAGGAGGACAAAAACCACAGGAAAGCTCTGGGGTTTGGTGCACGGGGGTTTAATGAGGAAGTGGTTTAATGAGGGCAGGGATTGTTCCTCTCTGTGGGCACCTCCAGTGCTACCTCCACCCTCCAGCTGTGCCAGGGGAGGGTCAGGTTGGAATATTTTGTCTCCAGTGGTTTTCTAGCAGTGAAAAACGGTGCAGCACAAGGTTTAAAGCAGGAATGGAACCTGGCAAAGCTCATTGCTGGAGCAGGGGGCTGAGAGGAAGCCTGGCTTTGATCAGTTGGGGTCCTCACTCCCCTCTCACTTCAGGGTTAAATAGGGTGGGAACACCAACCCTGCGCCCAGGAGAGTCCCTCAGTTGTGTTATTTCCCCAAAACAGGCAGAAAGTAAAGCCAGAACACTCAGATTATGATGCAGTCTGATTTATTAATGGGTGACAAAGGTGACAAAAGCAAAAGGGGATCGTGCAGAAAATGAGGCTTCGAGGCTTTGACACAGTTGGCCTCTGGGTCCAGGAAGCTTCATTCCAGGCAGTGTGTTCTTCCCTTCTCCTCCAAGGGTTGGCTTCCCCCTGCAGTCCAGTTCTCACAACTCCTGGTGGACACCAAGGGTCAGCTTCAAGTGAGAGAAATCACAGGGTACAAACTTCTCCCTTTTGCTCCCTGGGTGATGATATTGGTTGGGATGTGGGAGGAATGTGGATGCATTTGAAATTTGGACCGTGAGAGGACCAGAAGAACACATTTAGAGCTAAGAAAGGAGGCACAGCAGTGGGTACAAGCACAAACACCATCGAGTGGCACAAACACAATCAAGTGGCCTTTTATGGCAGCGTTTTAAAAAGCCATTTTACTCTTGGGATTGGATCTTGCATTCAGCATCCTGGCTGCTCCTGGAGAAAGAGAACTCCTGCTGGCTCTGGGAGGGCTCCCACCTCCTGAACCTGTACCCACCGACCCTGGGGGAGCAATAGGGGGACGAGAACCTGCTTCCATAACAAAAGGAGCCTCTGGAGCTGCTGTAAGATCCCCCAGAGCCGAGGGAGGCTCCCAGGGCAGCTGGTGCTGAGGATCCCACCACGCTCTCCTGGGGGCAGGAGCTCAGGATGGGCCCGGGGAAGGTGATGACCACGGGAGGGGGGTAAATCACAGCCCGGGAGTCCCCACAGGAGGTGACACAGGGCTCGTTCCAGGCGTCGGCCACGGGCTGAGGGCAGGACACCCAGCAGGGAGAGGAGCTGCAGATCTGCCTGGGGTAGGACATGGTGCTGCACTGGAGCTGGCTCTGAAACACAGGAACACTGGAGCTGGCTCTGAAACACAGGAACTTGGAGTCACAGGGTGTTCTGAGCTGAGAGGAACCCACCAGGATCATCCAGGTCACACCCCTGGCCCTGCACAGACACCCCGACAACCCCACCAGGATTATCCCACCTGCAGACCCCAAGGAGGGCTCCCCTGGGGCTGCTCCAGGATCATTTTAAAGCAGCCCAGTGGCAGGACAGGACTGATGGAACTTTGGGAATTCAGTGGAAGGGCGGGGTTTGTAGAACCCCCTCTCACAGGGAGCTTCAAACTGAGCTTCCCCTGCCACCAGAGCCAAGATTGGGCTGCAGCTCATTTTTATCCCAGCCAAAATTGGGCTACAGCTCATTTCTACACCAGCCAAGATTGGGCTTTAACTCATTTCTATCCCAGCCCAGATTGGGCTGCAGCTCATTTTTATCCCAGCCAAGATTGGGCTGCAGCTCATTTCTGTCCCAGACAAGATTGGGCTTTAACTCATTTCTATCCCAGCCAAGATTGGGCTATAGCTCATTTCTGTACCATCCTTAGGAACTCGGGGCTGTGAATCCTTGAAGGACTCAGCAAGGAGTGCAGGATTCCCTCAGGGAGCTGCAGAATCCCAGCCCTGAGCTCCGATTCCCTCAGGGAGCTGCAGGATCCCAGCCCTGAGCTCTGATTCCCTCAAGGGAGCTGCAGGATCCCAGCCCTGAGCTCTCTGCAGGCT